TCTTTGTAACCACCGTGAGCATATTTCACCCAAAGCAAAAACCTGATGGTTGATGTTGTTGATATGCCTTTGTGTAGGCCTGTGATGGATCTGGCTGGTAAGTGTCGACCTTCTCCGTAAAACACTCGAAATCCGCATAAATGACGAATGGAACCCTCATCAACTTTTTGTGGTTATGGAAGACTATGTGGGTTCCTTCCTCTGGCATCTCGATCCTTACTGCATCCTTCTGACTGCAATACTCCATATTCTCGTCCAGGATATCCTGTCTTGAGAAGTGAGACAAACACCTGCGGCAAAAGAACAGTTCATGACCATGCTCTGAGATTTGACAGCTCAAAAATCGAGATAGGCTCTTAATCCAGCAATAGTGCTGCTTGCTCTCATTGGTCAGGAACAGAAGATCCACATGTCTCGAACCTGTATTCTTAGATATTCTGAGGGGATATATTTGGAGGTCCTCTTCTTCATCTTCACCCTTCTTTACACCGTCAAAGCCAAAGAATTTAATGTTTAGGTCGGTGTTCTGCCTCTCGAATTTGTCAATGGCCTTTAGCGAGACTGGAAACTCAATGCCATCAAAATTGAATTCATCAGCCCACTTTTTGTACTGACCCACCCGTTTGGTACAGTGTTTGTCAACTTCCTCATGATGTAGGGCTGAAAGAATGGCCCAGCGTAAGCATTCCTGATCAGTATTCTGCACATTGATGATAGCTTTCTTTTGAGCGAGCGGTTTTGGCAATGCTATGTAGGAACTGCCCTTGAGAGGTTTAAACTTGTTTAAGTGGATTTCTAGCTTTTCAATATGACCAAATGTCCACCCACTACCTTCACGCATGTATTTAGCCATATTTTCTTTGGCCTTCTCGACCATAAATGCTATTTCCAACTCAAGGTCTGTGGATTCGGTGATGGTGGTAAGGGTTGATCTAAAGTGGGGAATGACGTAGATATTTTCTCCGGTCGCTGGGTTTGTTTTTACCATCTCCACCTGTAGTACTAATTGCACTTTTAGGGCCTTCTTTTTGGTGAGTGCATCTGAAATTGTGCTGGCGATAGTGCTTTGACTTACATTAAAAAACGTTAGCATATCATGCTGTTTCAAGGGTTCAATGGTGATTGTGCCAAATACACCTTTCAATGCATCGCGTCGGTTAACAATTTTGATTTCCTCTTCAACGGGGGCATTTTCAATGTTCTTTTTCACCAGTTCGGTCAGGTCAGCTCTCCCTAGTCGGGAATAGTTGGTAATTCCCCGTCTTTTAGCAATAGTCTTCAGTTCCTTTTTGGTAAAAACCTCTTCGCGAGTAAATTTGTGGGCAGTATTGGTCTCAATTAACTTAACCAATTCCCCCTTGGGTTTCCTACTATATCCCTTAAGACCCTCCTTCTTTGCGATTTTTCGAAGTTCTTTCATGGTGGTTTTCACCACAATATTCCCTACAACTGGGGTATCCTCCTGCTGGCGTGGTTCTTTACTGTGTCTCCAGCAGAGCCCATCTTTCCACGGTTTGCTCTTGCAGAATTGTCCTATCTTCCTCTTCAGCGAAGCGCCGCAAGTTTTTGGTTCTTCGGCAGTATCATTCTCAATATTTTGAGGCACCTTCGTACCACAGTGCTGAAAAATGTTGGTCCTTTCGTCCATATCTTCCATTTTAGGGTTGCTACAACACTGCTGCTTTTGGGGAGTTGGGGTAATATCTTCCATTTCTTCCATTTCCAGAAAGAATTTTTTATACTGATCCATATCTATATCAACAATATTGGATGCCATCCCTTCATGTATATCAATTTGGGGAATGCTTCCTTCTAAGGTATTTGAGGCTGGGGTATCTCTGACGTTTTGTGTAAAAGACATATTGGTATTTACCCTAGGATTACATCCTTCTAAGGTGTTTGGGTTTTGTGTAAAAAACATATTGGTATTTACCCTAGGATTACATCCTTCTAAGGTGTTTGGGTTTTGTGTAAAAGACATATTTGTATTTACCCTAGGATTACATCCTTCTAAGGTGTTTGGGTTTTGTGCTAAACTGAAAGACATTCTTGTTTTTACCCTTAGGCTAATTGAAACGTATTGCGTTTGCATTTTATGTTTGGGGTTGGGGTTCCTATGCTGAATTTGTGCTTAAAATGGCAAGTGCCGCAGAATCGGCTTTTTGACACTACTGCTATCAGTAACTTCGAGTACTCTAAGATCTGTTCTGTGTGTCTATTGTGATTTTGTTGTTTTTCTGTGCTTTGTATTGATCTGTTAAGTTAAGCCCTTTACAACTGATTGTATAGTTTGTTCTTATCTTGTGCTGTTACATCACTGCCCCAGGTTTGGGGAGGGTAGGTGCGTCCGCAACTATTTCTTGAACCCTGCCATTTGTGTTTGTATCTGTCCCAAGTCAGGAGCATGTTGTTCAGTGGTTGTCGTGTGTTGTTGCTGTTTAACATATTTGTTTTTCGTGTATTATTTTTCTTTTAATAAATCAACCTGTTTGCTTTCTCGTTTGAATTGTTTTACATTTTGTTATTTCGGGTCCTTTTAAGTTTACTATGCAGTATGGAATTTGCTCATTGCTGATGGCCATACGGTGAACTATAGTTGCTTAGCTTCTACGTCATTTGGTCTCTTCTCGAGAGTTGTCTCTTGAAAATCATACCACTTCTTCGTATATTTATACTTAACGAAAATTTACCTACCAAGGGTCATTAAGTTGGACCATCAAATATCTTATTTTTAGTTTCCACCAAGTTGTTCCAAACACGAAGATGAAAATAGGATTTAACATATTTTCATTGGGGTATGTGGCACCAATATCAGTGTCCTGTGAACTTAAATTTGTATTGACAACGCAGTTTTAAACAAGAAGCAGAGTAATATAAGTTGTATATATATATATCCAGCTAGTGTCGCCATGTTTGCCCGTTGATCAACGTTAAATAGGGTTTACAGATCACTGCAATCATCCATTTCTTCGAGTTTCAAATAATTGTGCTTCTAGTTCCATTGACAAGGCTGAAGCTAGCGAACAATAAGCCAGCGAACAATCAGACGATATATCTTAACACCAAAAATTGTAAAAGACAGTAACGGCCGTTCGAATAAAAGCTAGCGACCAATAAGGCGATATATTTAGCTCTAGTCGCCATGTTTGCCCTCTGCTCAATGTTAATACATGTATAGAGATTAGAGAGTAGTTGCCATCATCCAGTTCTTCACATTTAAAATAATCGTGCGTCTGGTTCTATTTCAACAGGCAATTTTTTATAATTCTGATTGTCCGGTATTAAAAATTACCTGTTGAAATTATGTTTCAAACTTCCTTCGGCACAGTTTACCTTAGATAGATTTTTTATTCTGTTCAGGTTTCTTTTTACATAATTTATCAGTAGGCTCCTGACGTTTCAAAGTACTTATACATCCCCGGCTTTCAAAGATCTGGGTTTGAGTGTTCCCGGTAAAGTTAAATCCAGACAAGCTCTTGTGACGAATCAAGTCTATAAAGTATGGAACGCCACAGCTGTCTTATGTGGTACTCTCATATTACGTTTGTTGTTTTATTATTACTTGATGATATTTTGTCTTTACATAATATGGTTTTGACAAGATCTTGTGACGCATTAAGTTTATAAAGTGTTATTTGACTATGCAAGAGATCACACTTTTCGACCAGGCGATCTGTAAACGCTAAGAGAACATAACTAGAGGCTCTCAAGAGCCTGTGTCGCTCACCTGTATTTACTGATGCTTTGGAAATCATGTAAAATAAGGTTAAAATCATAATTAATAGTATTAGATATTAGATATCATAATGATATCTAAGATAATAACAAAAAACTGCATTTTTTTTTTTTTTAAATTACTAACTCAGGGGCTGCAACCCAACAACTGGTTGTCGGATTCGTCTGAAAATTTCAGGGCAGATATATCTAAATCTAATGAACAATTTTGCCACCTGTCAGATTTGCTCTAAATGCTTTAGTTTCAGAGATATAAACCAAAAACTGCATTTTACCCCTATGTTCTATTTTTAACCAAGTCGGCCATGATGGTTGGAAGGCGGGGTCATCGGACAATTTTTTTAAACTAGATACCCTAATATTGATTATGGTCAAGTATGGTTAAATTTGTCTCAGTAGTTTCAGAGAAGAAGATTTTTGTAAAAGATAACAAAAATTTACGAAAAAATTGTTAAAAATTGACTATTGAGGGCAATAACTCCTAAAGGGGTCGACTGACAATTTGGTCATACAACTTATTGGTAGATCTTACTTTGCTGAACATTATTGCTGTTTACAGTTTATCTCTATATATAATAATATTAAAGATAATAACCAAAAACTGCAAAATTTCCTTAAAATTACCAATTCAGGGGCAGCAACCCAACAATAGGTTGTCAGATTTGTCTGAAAATTTCAGGGCAGATAGATCTTGACCTCATAATCAATGTCGCATTGACCCTGTCAGATTTACTCTAAATGCTTTGGTTTCAGAGATATAAGCCAAAATCTACATTTTACCCCTATGTTCTATTTTTAGCCATGGCGGCCATCTTGGTTGGTTGGCGGGGTCATCGGACCCATTTTTAAAACTAGATACCCTAATGATGATTGTGGCCAAGTTTGGTTAAATTTGGCCCAGTGGTTTCAGAGGAGAAGATTTTTGTAAAAAGCTAACGACGACGGACGACGATGACGGACGCCAAGTGATGAGAAAAGCTCACTTGGCCCTTCGGGCCAGGTGAGCTAAAAATGGTTACAAAAGGAAAATAACTGTAACAAAGTCCTGTCAACGGAAGGTGGAAAACGACAGTCGTTAACGAATATTGCCCTTTGGACCAGGTGATCTAAAATAATCGATGTGCTAGGTGATCATAAATGATAAAAATTAACCAGCCTTTCAATACAAAACACTACTTTAAAATGATATGATTGCAAGGTTAACGATCATAGGAAAAGTATTACAAGTAACAGATCACTTTACCAAATTTAAGGCCGATATTTACCTTAATTAAGCTTGGAGTTTTGATCTAAACAGCGACCCACAAGGAAGGTAAACAGGTAAAAATAGAACGTAAACACGACAACAATGTAAACTGGTAAACAAACAGTTCAACTGTGATGTTTAAATGGCGGTTCATTTCAAAATAAGATAAGAGAATGTAAATTTAATTACGTTGATAAAAAATGAACATACAGTCTGGAAGCTTAAATTTGTAAAATAATTATTATGTAATCTTCTATAAAAAATAAAAAGAAATCTGTGGCATAATATTTTTTTTTTCAAAATTAATCTGTGAGGCGAGGATATAATTAATGTTATTGTATTCAGGAGCCCAATACTTATATTATATTATATCCATAATTACATATGCCTACATGTAATTGACATCTTGAAATGTTTCAAGACCCTTATGACCTCTATACTCCATTTCAGGGTATCTTGAAATAATTCAGGACCTCCATAATTCGACAATTAATGACCTGAAATAAAGCAATGTTAATCGATAATATTTGTAGAGGTCCTGAAATACAACTAATGCAACAACTTTCAACAATCCACACCTTATATTAATCACAACCAATCTGTTTAAAATAACATGTTTATAAATTTTTATGGTGTAGTTTTTATATATTTGTAGGCCTCTATAGTGCGATGGTACGCTATGTGCGATGGTCACGCTACAGTGCGATGGTCTACGCTAAAGTACGATGGTGTCTCACGCTAAAGTGCGATGGTTGTTTGTTTGCTAAAGTACGATTGCATATATCCTGGTTCCCGGTACTACGTTCCAGGTATTAGCTAAAAACCATACGTTGTCACGAGGTCCCGGTACGGGGTTATTTTTAAAATTTCAAAATGGACCGGAAGTCGACATCTGGAAGTTCGCCTCAGGTAAACAAAAGCTCTAAATTTTGGACTTAGAAGACAGAAAATAAAAAATGACTTTGCACATTTCTGCAAAAAAGTATTTCCTTTAATTTAAGGTATTAATGATTCAAATTGGGACACAGACGAAAAATGTGCAAACGATTTAATCCAAGCACATCCAACTTGTCTTACAAAAAGCCTTTAAAAGGGCTTGTTATGTGGGCCAGACTAGGTTTAACTGTCAACGCTAACCGCTATCCTACAAATTATGCCTGTAGACTTCATAAATAAGTATTGGACAAGATATAATGCAGGACAAATTCAAATTGTTTTGCATAATCATCGAAGTATAGAACTGTATAACGGCTACAATGTAAGTGTTGAAGTTTTGAAGCAAAATTATATATATATATATATATATTTATTCAAGATAAAAAGGCATGAATTTGACAGATACAAAATATTACAAAGACATGGATACAGCACTAGACATAGTTTATAGACACTAAAATGATATACATGTTTACTAAAAATTTTAAATTAAGAAATAAAAAATAAAATTATGAAAATTTTCATGATATTTTGATAATATGATTAGACTAGATTAAAAATGAGTGAAATTTAACTTGACTAGATTTTACACTGTAGCCTAATATCTTAGGATGACCCACAAAAGTTAGTAAAACTTATTTCCAGTGGGGTCCTTTTATAACGAGACTTCCAGTTTACACCAAGGGTTGACACATAGAAAATACAAGCACAAATCATTTAGAATTTATCACAGATAAATGGTCAAAGCCCCAGTATAATTAATAAATTAATGTCCAAATGTTCACCTGAAAATTTACTATGGGTGTAGACAAACTGGTGCATACATGAAACTGAAAGTTTTAAGGCATGACATGCCCCATATAGGAAAAAGTTGTATATCAGGTAGGTTAAATAATGTAAAAAAAACTTGACGTTTGATGTGCATTTTTTACCCCAATATGCAGAAGAATACAAAATAAACAAACACATGAGTTTCATTTGATATGGCCCACTCTATATCATGTTATATGTTCCCAGATAAGTGTATTTGCAGTCTTCATAAATGAGTTAAATGCACATGCAGCGAACGGTTAATATTTTATTTTTATCTGATCCCCAATTATTTTGAATGATGAAAACAAATTCATCTGGTCATCTGTTGCCACTGAGATCCTTCAGCAGCTGCTTACAGAACAATTTAAAACAAAACAAGAACTGATTAATAATATTTAATAATATAATGATAATAATAATAATATTATAATCCAGAACACATGGATTCATGACTAATTTGGGTTAGGTTGAAGTGTGTTACTTACAAAATTTTGACAATTTTATCATTACATTATTATCCATGGATTATAATATTTTACTACATTCAATTTTTATAAAACCTTATTTTATAACAATCATACTAATCATTAATAATCAATTATTTTGTTATTTTATTTAGTTAAAATATTATGTTGTATTGTATGTAGACTTTGTTTTGTAATTACATTGATTATTCTGCTCAGTAATTGGCGCACAATAAAATATCTTGTATCTGGATATAGACACAATCCCAGATTAAAAATTGAACTGCAAAGGGTTATTTCTTTTTTTCTTTTATTAAAATGTTTTAATTTCTTAATATTGATTTAAAATTCTGAAGAAATTGATTTCACAAGAATCTTTCTGGGAGTTTGAAGGAAATCATTCCACATTTTAATTTGTACCAGAAGCTTTAATCGTACATTTAATAATTAAAATGAATTTCAAAATGTTAGCGATTAAAATCACATGTTGACTATGATAATTTAAACAAAGAATTAAACTTCATGTAGAGTAACCAGAAGCTTTCTAATTTTACAACCCAATTATTACTTAATCAACCTCGTTAAAGTCTAGATGTCAGCAGTGTATTTCAAATCTGGTGTGGATCCAGGATAGTAAAAGCCAGATCTAGCAAACCAACAATTATCATTGTTTATAGTAATACAATGAAAGACTATGCATTTACCATATATGGAGCTTCTTAAAAGGGGCATGACTCCTCCCCACAACAAAATCTGCTTCTGCAAATTTAAATCTATTTATGTAGCTGCACGGTTGAGCTTATGTAATACAATCCAAGTTATATACATTTTTTGTACATCTCAATAACTGAAAATTAACTTATATTTTCCACTAAAATACGGTATATTTGTAAGAATATAATTCTTAATGAACACATTTATATATTTTTTTATACTTTATTTGTTTGGTTGTTTGTTCTAGGAGCAAATTTTTGTTCATTTAAAAATATAGGACAACAGAGTTGGTGTACGTGGGTTCGATTCCCACCCTAGGCATTCATTTATATCAGCTGGTGCAAAGCGGGCAGTTTAGCTTAGTGGCCCCACACTGAATCTGTTGTTCCAATGTAAAAAAAAAACAGGCAACCAGGTCTCACTATTTTTCTTATCGAAGACAACAAAACTATGGTATAACTGTGAAAATTATATATATCAAAGATAGCTATGGTATAATTTTAGGTTAGTGAGGTTTATACTCGGGTTGCATTCCCATAGGTTCTATATACAGCTATAGGAAGTTATGATCATGATGATAACCCATGTAAATGCAATTGACTTTTGATAGGTATATACATGATATACATGATATACAAGGCATGTTACTTGGAAGTATGTGGGCTAAATCCAGTGAAATTCAAGCTGCTGCCACATTATTTGGATGCAATATAAATATTTGGCTCCCACAGGCCCCTGTATATTTTATGCATCAGTTTAAACCTGATCAAAACCTTTTCAATGATATACTTTTATCAGGTGCACATTTCAACCCTTTAAATAAATCAACACCTATGGCTATACCAACTTTACCACTGCAAATTAATTTTCATGACCAAAAGAAAAAAAAGTTACATGAAATTGTTGTAAAAAAACACAAACAGAAGATAATCATGAAATAAGAATACATTTATACTACTGAACAGTGTCCTCCCCACATATTTCAAATAGCATCCCAGAGAATAGCAAAATCTTTATATCATCAACTAAACAATCCTATGTATGGTTCCTTTGGCTTAGATGAAAATGAAAAACCTGATCTAACAATATTTCAAAACATGCTCACTGTAAATTCAAACTCTTCTATTAACAATCAGTATGATGTTCTTGCTGGTCAAATACATATATGAGATGCAGGATACAATATGAATACCCAACTAATTTAGAGAGATTAAATAATTTAACCAACAGAAAGCATTGTTTCACTTTGCAATACAAAATTAAAATAACAGCTACAACTTTTAAATATTAATGAAAAAGACATCCCAAATCCTCCACCTCTTCATGAAAATCAACAATTTAATAAAGTGATGGATTGTAATCATAGTTTTAAACTAAAAAAATGTCTTGAAGTTGTTGTTTTAAAACATTTGCAAAGAAGAAAAATTGATATGAAAATGGCACAAGATAATGAATGTAAGCATCATTTAGATAAATCACCAATAAAATTATTTACAGCAGAAAACAATATGGACCCTTAAGGATGTACACCTGAGGAGCCAAACATTTCTAGAATTAAACTTTTTCTTAACCTGATTTTTGGGTTTATATGACTGTAAAAAAATAATTGGTGAAGAAAAAATTTCTGGTGGTGCACTTTTGCTACGGCCCTTTGAAAGTACCCAATTTTGATGATTTTCCCATTTTTCATCAATTTTTACCTATTTTTGGGCTATTATCGTGAAAAAAATCACAGTTCCACAATTAAACTTTTTTTCATACTTTCAATAAAGATTAAGTGGACCAATCTGAATAAATTTAACTAAAAAAAACTATAGGTAGGTGTTAATATAAGAAAATTTTATCATATTTTGATGCTTTTTTGTGTCAAATTTACCATGCTTTCAATTTTGTAAATTTGTGATTTTTTTCAGTTTTTAGAACAAAATGCATATTATTTCAACTTTTAGGTTATAAATGATTGAAAAAATACATATCTAAGAAATTTGAAAAGAAAAAAATGATATGGGATGTACATGATTCTGGTAAAATCATTTTTTGTACCCCTCACCCATTTTCTCAAAATTTTGGCTAAAAAGACTGACTTGATTGGTCATAAAATTTGAAAAATTGATTACTCAAAAACTACTCATTGTAAATACACAATTTT